CGAGATACAAAAGCAATTAGAGCTGCCTGTATCGGACTGAACTGTATCAGACGACGTGCTGTTGAAACCGGATTGTTTTCTCGACGCCCTGCAAAGAAACCGTTGACTTCACTAAGAAAAGACTCCTGTTTGCTACATCTCATATTAATTAGAATGTGCAGAAATGGCGAACTGTCCTGTTCAGTGATGAATTGAAGCTCAACATCATTGAGAGCGATGGCATTTGCTGTGTACGTCGATCGGCCGAAAAACGCCTCGATTTACGTTACTGTCATAAGACCATCAAGCATGGTGGAGGCAATGTAATGGTCTGGGGGTGTTTTTCTGCTAACGGTCTAGGTCCAATACATCGAAACGATGGAATAACGGACAGTTTCATGAATAAAAATATCCTGAAAGATGTTATGTTACCTCATGCTGAATGGAATATGCTATATGAATGAATGAATAAAATGGGTTTTTCAGCAAGACAATGGTCCGAAACACACTGCAAAAGTACTCAAGCAGTGGTTTCAAGACAACCACCTATCGGTGATCGATTGACCGCCTCGATCTACGGATCTCAACCCTACCAAGAACCTGTGGGAGATTGTCAACCGCAGAATTAATCGTGAAGGTGTTCGTAATAAGGCTTAACTGTTTGAACAAATCCAAAGGGCCTGGCCAGCGATTCTACAAAGTTTTATTGATCACCTGATCAAATCGATGCCTCGTAGATGCAAGGCTGTGATTGACAATAAAGGATTCGCCACGAAATATTGATAGCGAAATACAGCTTGATCAACATTTTGTGGAGTTGCACTTGTTTTGTCCAGAAGGAAATCAACTTTTTTTAAATACTTTTGATTAATTTATTAATTTTCGTGTACAAATAATGAACTTTGTGATGAACAAAACTTAAAGAACGTTGTCTCTAAACAGTTACATAGTTATTTCTCTAAATTGAAAAAATGTAGCACTTTTATATGAAGAAACTAAATTAGCATTATTTGGTTGCACTTGTTTTGTCCGATACTGTATATATATATATATATATATATATATATATATATATATATATATATATATATATATATATATATATATATATATATATATATATATATATATATATATATATATATATATATACATATATATACATATATATATATATATATATATATATATATATATATATATATATATATATATATATATATATATATATATATATATATATATATATATATATATATATATATATATATATATATATATATATATATATATATATATATATATATATATATATATATATATATATATAGGAGAGGGGTGTTTGATTTTGTGAGGCAAGATGTTTTTTTCTTTATTTCAAATCTAGTAAAACCTTTCTTTTAATTAATAGATTGTCAAGCCAAACATAAAGTTGATGTATGTACTGTGCCTATACCCGACTGTGCCTATTCCAATATAACTTAAATTTGAAATTGACTTTTCAAATTGACATAAACTTTAGTAGACTTCGTTTCGTTTACGGCTTTATCAGCTGTGATAAACTCGTGTTAGAATAGATAGTGACGTCTACAACACTACATCAACTTATTATTCATGAGTTTATTTATATTATACTTTTATCAAAAATTAAATATCTTCGGAAGTTATTTGTCCCTTAAGTAGGTGTTAACTTCTACAACTTTATATGGAACAATAGAAGTTAAAAAAATAATGTATCTATATTCCAGTTCCCTGATACCTACTTAAGTCAGTCGATGTATGAACTACATTACAACTGCGACTGTATGAGTCATTTTATTACGCATTTATCTTTTTTTTCTGTAAGACTTTGAAAAATATAAACAATAAATAAGTATGATTATTAATAAACAACAATAATACTGCCCTGGTAAAAAAAATAAAAAACAGTAACTCAATTTTCAAGATTTTTTTTTTTTTGGAATTACTATTCATTATTATTTTCTTGACCTGGAGTTTTAGAATTTTAAAATAATATTAAATAATAATAATTAAAATTTATATGTATTGAAATGCATTAAATAGTTAACTAAAAGCAGATTTTTTTTTAAATATAAACAAATTAATATTTTTAACCCAAATAATGCATCCAATAGTCCAAATCCCATTTCAGAAAACCAGATAATATATCGTTTTAAGTATTATCCTTATGCGTCAATAAATAATGGCTTTGTATAAAAATAAGATCTTGTATTATATTTACATAAATCTTTTTAAAATTGACTGTAAATGTTAAAAGAAATGATTTTTAAAATGGCTTTGTATCGTAAAATCTTTTTAAAATGGCTTTGTATCGTAAAATATATCTGTAAAATGTATCTAAATGTAAAATGTAGCTTTGTATCGTAAAATTTAAAATGGCTTTGTATTGTAAAGTCTTTTTAAAATAGCTTTGTATCGAAATATCTCTTGTATTATATTTACATAAATCTTTTTAAAATTGACTAAAAATGTTAAAAGAAATTATTTTTAGAATTGTTTAAGACAAAATGAAGTAGGGGAGAGTTGCCTTAATTGGAACACTTAAGGAATAAATATTTATTGACCAAAGAAAACTATGAAAACGTTTAGGGTTTGGTTAATACAAACAGACAACCCTAATATACTTTTAACCACAATTTGACTTAATTGATTGCACTGTTATTGGAAATAAATTTGTTTTTGCAGAGATACCATTTTGTTCCAATCAAGGCAACTGGTTCCCTAAATTGGAACAATTTGATTCCTTAATCAAAACAGGTTATTAAAAAAAAAAAACAGTAAAATCAAAAAGAATTTGTAAAAAATAATTTTCATTGTTACAGTGAAAATTTAAACAGTTAATTCAAATCTTATTATAGGATTAGTACTACCCTGACAAAAAGTCTACAAACGAAAAATTGTATAAAGCCTCAACTGTTTAATCAATAAATAAAGTATTATTTTTAAAGTTTATGGTTGTTATTAAGTATTTTTTTAATTGCACTGGAACTATTTTTACAACCCTTTGATTTCATTACTGATTAGATAAGGAAAACTTTAATGTTCCAATCAAAGGAACTTTCGTCTATTTTGTTATATCACTTCAATAACATGCTTGCAGCAACTTATAAGATAAGTTTATACTGTTATTTTGCATTTTAAATCCCATCGAATTATATACAAAAAACAGTATTTCCATATTGCACCATAGTTTACCCAGCGCAATCAATATAGTGTGTACACAATATTATATCACTTAAAAAAATAACGCAAAAAACTTTTAAATCAAAGGTGCAAATGCTTTTTTTGAGGAATAACTTTCAAAATGTGTCAAAACGTAGAAAATAATGCGTTTTACTAAAAAGATGCAAAATATAGCCATGATTCATTTTTTTTCAAAAATAAATGCAAGTGTTCTAAATAAGGCGCTGTTCCAATTTCGGCAACTCTCCCCTACTATTATACAGTTTAAGTGCTCCCCAAAAATGCTGTATCAATTTACCCTATACTTGCTAATAGAAAATAATAGCTTAACTTTTAGTATTAACTTGTTTTTTCAATGATTTTGTTTAAAGAAGTAAAAATACGGATTGTAATTTACAAAATAATGTTACTTACCAATATACACATTGAATAAGGGACCTTAAAACTTGTGAGCTTTAAAAACAAATAAATTACTTTGTCATTAAAAAAAACACAAATTTTGACCCCTCGCAGGTCTGATGTCAAATTATTTTTTTTCAAAACATAGCTCTAGTAGTAACTGTTTTACTATATGAAAGTGGTTGTCATAATTCCTAAGATGCCTCCACAGTTACAATGTTTCATGGTGCCCCACTCTCACCCCTACTTTTACTAAATTGCAAAGTTTTATTACTTTTTCACCTCTGATTTGAACCCACAAACACGTTTAGATACTGATACCGAGATCAGCGCACTAAATCTTTAAGTTACTGAAGATGTCATACTATAAAAAAAATTAATTTATAAACTTTTTATACCGATGTCATAGTTAAACACTTTTTAGTGGGTAATCTAGTTAACTGCAACTATATTGAATAAAAAAATTTTAAAACAAATATTCGAAAATTGAAAAAAAAATTACAATTACATAAATAACAGCTAAATAGAATTTTATTATAAACTTCATTTTTATTTTTATCGAAAACAAATTATTATTATTTATTCAAAACAATTTTTTTCAAATAATATTTCATATTTAAAAATAAAGTTTTAGATTTTTATATATAGTAAACTAAATTAATGCTGAAATAACACTTCTTCGTGATTGCTTCTATCAAAAAAACTGACTATCCACTGTGTCATTTTGGTTTATTCAAATATTTTTTCTTTAATTACTATTATTGGTTTTAGTAAAGTGTTTTAAAATAATTTTTAAAATCTAAACTCCTTTTTAAACATCAAAAAATTGAGATTTAATTAACTTGTGCTTGTTGTTTTATTTGGAAAGGATCAAAAAAGTTTATTAAAGCAACTTCTGCGATACAACTTAATATTCAAAATTAAATTTGGAGAGAATACGATGTAGGTAAAGAGTGTTGTCCAAAAAACTTCCTGCAAAACAAATTTATATGCATTGAGCAAGAGAGGAACATCAAAATTAAATGATTGCATTGAGAAAATATCTAAAATTAAAAGACAAAAACTCAAAAGATCATCTGAGTTTAGTGAAATATTAGATTGCAAATAATAATCAAGATATCATCGATAGAATCATTAAAAAGATGTGTGATTCCTGCTTTTCTTTAATAGGTATTCTTAAATAAATTTAAAATATTTTATGTTTGTTGTTTTCAATTTTTTAAATATAATTATAACATACTATTAGAATTATTTTTAGGTTATTTTTATTTTTATACTTTGTTACCGAGCCAATAAAAAGTACGAAAATGTCGAAAATTTTACTGTTTTCCAAATTATTCAAGTAATTGATTAAAAATATTATAAAACAGTCCTGAGATACGTAGAATACACGCAAGATTTTAAATAATTTAACTTACATTTGCAACCAGCTGATTTGCAAATAACTGCAGCGTGAAAACTTAGTACTGTTTTGTGAAAAAAATTGATTTTGATTTTCTTAAGAACTCAAATAAATTTGCTCTATTTATTTAAACAGCTTTAGTAACTAAATTCTTTGAAAGCCTACGATTATCTAAGCAAAAAGTCAATAAGTGCTTAGTAAAACTATTTATATATAAGTAATATTTACTTCCTACAACCTTAAGAAATCTTCAATTAAATAAATAAACATCAAGAAAGCAACTTTTGTTTAAGTAAGTTTGTATATTTTTTTTTTTTAAATTTAAATTAAGCTTTACAATGTTTTTACAGCATAAAAATTTCAACCGGAGCTGGCAGAAGACAAGGTCTTATCATAATAAATAAAATATTTTAGAATTCCGGTTTTATCCGGTCACCTAATATCTTATATTTTATAATATAATTTATTACAGTACCAACTGTAATAAATAAAATGAGTTTTGAAACCTTTACATTTTTTACATTTCGCCACGTTAGAAATATTTTGATTTATTTTAATCTTCACATTTTTGAGTTTTAAGAACAATTTAAAAAAGTAAAAAACATTAGGAGACGGCACATAAAACATTAGTTGTACAATAAGTTATAAAAAGATTACTTATTTTTATTACTTTTTTACAACTTTAAAACTCCAAAAAACTTTTATTATAAATTTACGAAAAGCGTAAACAAAAAATATTCTCTCAGAATAAACTAGAGTTGATAATGCCGCCCGGCGGCAAAGTAACTTTCGGCCAAGAAGCTGACTTTTTAGGGAGACAAAAGCTGTTGGCGGCGGCCTCCCAATCAATTTTTAGTGGCAAAATGCTCTTTCTTCCGCCTCCAGTAGCTTCTGCCCTTCTATTGGCGGCCGCAGAAAGAGTAACTTTAGTTACAAAAGTAACTTTAAAATTTGTTTAGATTTAACACATTAACAAAGTAGAGACCCTAATTAATAAAAAAACACTTTTAAACTACAAAAGTTTACTTATTTATATACAAATTCATTTTGTTAAAGTAAAACATGACAAACAAAAAGTAAGACATTACAAACAAAAAGTGAAACATGACAAACAAAAAGTAAAACATGACAAAAAAAAAGTGACAACATGACAAACTCGCCTAATCCTATATTAAAATAAAAAGCTTTTTTTATCAGGGCAAACTGTAAAATAAATTTAGGGTTTTTTTGATTTTCATCAACAGATTTCAAGTTTCCTTAAAAAATCGGTTTGTGCCCAAACTTTTTTCCCAAAATGAGGGGTTGTAAATTTTGTGTTTTATAAAAACGTCTAAACAACGTATTTTTAAACAAGATTTATTTTGATAAAATTTGTACATGAATTTTTATACAGTTTAAGCTCATTTATTTCATACCGTTAATATTCTGTAGAAGGCATACAAGCAACATTTGACGTTAAGCTGCATTCTTGCATATATTTCGTAGAATGCATGCTAGCAAGATTTTAAATTATTTGTTTTACATTTGCTACCAGCTGATTTGGAATAACCGCAGCGTGATAACTAAGTACTGTGTTATTAACGTCTAGATTTAACACAAGAAAGTTTTCAAGCTTGTTATTTTATTGTTTTATCTGGTTTATTTTGTTTTTGCTTTTTTAGAGTCACCTCCACAACCCTCTTTAATGATACCACTGCATATTACAACTTATTATACTACTGTTTTTCAAAAAATAAAGTTTTTCTTTGTAAATTTCGATTTTTCATATTTTCTTCGCAGTCATTTTACAACTTCCCATTAAAGTAGTAAACAGTGGTTAGTAGTTGCAACGACGTATAAATACATGGATTAAGTGGATGAAACACAATGTTATAGATCATTGTTATAGATTACTAAAATTCTATGCGGGTTAGAATTTTTAAGGTCATCTTTTGAAATAATTTTACAAAATAAAATGACAATCAGCCGGTATTTTTACTTTGCTAAGTTTTTTTACTAAACATTTTATTACCGTAAAACACTAAATTTTGGGAAATATAAATGCATTTTATCTGATTAAGAATGTCTTATATTTTTGAAAGAATTTTTATTGGTATGCAAGCTTTGTTTAATAATAATAATAACCTAGTTGATGGTATAACCTTTTATACGGGTAAATGACTGATGTTTTTGCGAACTTTTTTGGTTAAACTTATTCATACAAGTTCGACGGTATTATTTATTTCAATTACTTGGTTGTATATTTACTATTCTTTCATTGTTTTTAAGGCATTAGTTTTTGTCCACAAATCTCCCGTTGTCTAAGAACGCGTCGAATATCTGCAATTGTATCACATTTAATTATATAACCTGTTCGATTATTAAACAAACACGCGCAAAATTTGTGCGTGTTTGTTTAATACCAAAAAATTGTAACCATTGCAAAGCATTAAATTTAATGCTTTGCAATGGGTACAGCTAACATTGTTCGAGCAGCTTTTTTTAATTCAGTTCAATGGACAAGAAACATATTGAATGAAAATATGATTGCTGGAGATTTGTACTTCAAAATTCGCAAAATTACACGATTAAGTGAACCCAAAGCTTTCTCAATTCTTGCTAAAGTTTCTTGAAACTCGATAATCTTGCTATTGTGAGACGCAGTTAAATTATGAACCGAAGAAAATTTTTTTTGAATACGACAGTATTTGACTCTGCAAAGTAAATTTGATTAATGTACAAAACGATTGTGAAGTACTGCTCACTTTACTCACTCACAACGATTGTGAACTACTGCTCACGATGACAATGTAGATGCAGAAATAGAAAAGCGGCAACAAAAAAGACGTGCTATAAATTAAACTGATGGCACAAAAATGGTCATAAAAAACGTCCCTGCAGAAGTACATTTTCCATTCTTCATGATGCATAAGGATACTGAAAAATATTTTTACAGTCATCTTCTTCGATATGAATTATACCGTTCAGAGAGTGAGCTATTGGATGAATTCAAAAACGCTCAAGAAGCATTTTTGGTTTGAGACAATGAACTTAAAGAATCTAGCAGGTATATAGAGACTTTCAGAGAAGGAGATAGACAGCTGGAGGATACTTTCAATCAAGCACAAGCCTTCAATATTCTTGAAAGACCAGAAGAAATTGTCGCAGAAGAGGTGGAAACTGAACAATCACGAATGACTGATGAACAATTCCAGTCAGTTCGTGCAGCAATGAATGCTAAACAATGTGAACTATTCAACTTTATTATCAACAGCATTCAACAGCAGTTGCAAGGTGACACACAACGTGTTTTGTTGTTTGTTATTGATGCAGGAGTATGGGAGTGCAGGAGTATTGGTGCAGGAGTAGGGAACATATTTACTTTCAACGTTCTCATGGAGAAAGTTAATCAATCCTTCAATAAAACAACTGTAAAAGTTGTAGCTTCGACTGATGTTGCAGTAGGGTTAGTAGGGTGGACCCACTATCCATAGTTTTCTCAAATTGTTGGTTCAAAAGGACGGAGTTATAACGCCGAGTATGCCAACATTAACAGGACACTATGTTGAAGTTGAGAAAGGTCCTGTCAATGGTGCTATGGTTACAATTGTAAAACTTACAATTTACGAAACTACGATGACAACTTTTCATCAGTTTGCATCGATTTCGGTAGAGATGGAGCTTATTTATTTGAACCTAAAGCTGCACAGATTCCTGTAAAGTACAATTTCGAAACGGTTGAACAATGACAGCTGCCACTAATTCTGTGTTGGGTCTCAACAGTTCACAAAACGCATAAATGCACCATTGACAGAGCAGTTACCTACCTTAGAAAAAAGCTATTTGTCTACGGCCAAGCTTATGTAACTCTTAGCCGAGTTTGATCATTGGAGGGACTACGCATCGAAGAACTAGACTGCGGTGTACTGACAGGAAAGAAGCAATGCAATGAATATACCTTCCAAGAAATAGAAAGAATGCGCCATTAACTACCAAAAGATAGTACTTGCAATCAATAGTACTTACAATTGAACCATTTAAATTTCTTAGCAGAATAAAATGTAAATAATTTAAAAATATATATAAAAAATCTTTTTGAAAACAACATTTTAAAGATGGACTATAAAGTAAAAAATAAACTATTTCACGGGACCCAAGGACTTTTTGTACGTACACAATCTGAAATATCAATGACTGAAAAATTTTGGGCACCAATAGGAACAAGTTGTACTTAGTTGCGCAACATTTTCAGTCATTGACCTAAATGGGTATTTCAGGTTGTATACGTACACGAAGTCCTTGGGGCCCACGAAATAGTTTATTTTTTACTTATTAATCCATTTTTAAAATTTAGTTTTTAAAAGGTTTTTTTAATTATTTTTTATTTAATTATACCTTGAGATTGTTCTCTCACATTGATAACATAATAATAAATTGATAATTGCAGAAAAATTATTACAAAAATGGACACTCCAATTATAATTATACTCCTGAATAAGAGTTATTTATTAAAAAACTAAAAATTTTTAATTAAAATAATTTTTTAAACTTAAAATTTGAAAAACAGCTTTAAACAATCTCCAAAAATATTTTAAAGAAATTATGAAATATAGGTAATTAGAGAATAAAATAATAGGCAACTTCTTCGTAGAACATACTGCTATAAAAATTTTTTAAATTGGCTTGTACTTCCTTTAACCTCGTTGCAGGAAGGTAAGTTGTCAAGTACAGTCAGTCAATACCTAAAAAGCAAATATATTAAATTACTACTATCATATCAATTTACCATACTCGTTCCATTTTCATTCAATTTGTAAACTCTAATTCATAAATCTAGACACATTGTAATTTATATAGCTTTTTGAACACCTAACTTTAGATATGTTGTGGATTAAATAGCTAAACTTAGGCTTAACTTAATCTTAAGCCAATAGAATAACTTAAGCTTCAACCATTAGAACTACTATATACATCTACACCTTAATTTATTCACAATAAATAGAAAGCATAACGTTAGGAAAGTCTTCTCATCAATACTTTTATAACAGATAATATTTATCAAAACTAATAGAAATGTAATTTCTATTAGTTTTGATAAATATAATTTTGCCCATCACTCAATCTCGCCCACCATCTTTAATTATTTTTATTCAGTTAACTCACACGCTGCACCATCAAAAAGACATTATTTTAGAGCAGCAAACCAGCCTTATCAACATCAAAACAACTTTGAACTCAAAAGAATCGCAAATAAAAAAGTCTCTAAAAGAAAATTTATTGGTTTCGGTAATTTTTTTGCTACTTAATTAGCCGAATTCAAACCTGCTAATGAAAATCTACCAAGTTAATTATTTATTATGCATGTTAAATTTTAATTTAATTTTGTTCTCCACTGTTTAATCTCTGATTATAATAACATTTATAATTGTTTGAAATGGTAGAATATGCATAAAATTGTTTTTTGCTCAACCTACCAAATTAACTCAATCTCGCCCACAGAATAAATAAATTGTTGCCCAATGCATTTAATCTTGTCCGGGTGGGCGAAAATAGATGCAGCATAATATATTAAGACTTACACTACCAGCAACTAATGTTTTAGTTATTAAAAATAACTAAAACATTAGATCCAAAACGTTAGGTTCAAAAGGTCCAAAACTTATTTTATGCATAATAAGAATGTTTTTATTCTTCTTTAATAGACTTTTGCTATTACTTAGCTAAATGCTTATTTACTTCATTGTAAATTAAGTACTGCGAAGTTCTAGGGTTAGGATCAGGTTACAAATACTAACATATGGTTTTCACCAAGTGTTAATATTTGTAGCTATTGTAAATTTGGAGCACTTTATTAAATTAATATGACATTGATACTGCAATTTAATTTATCTTAAAAAAATATGGTTAAAACAAGAGGTGGGGGAAGTAGATCATTATCAAGATTTCACCGGATGTTGGTTGGAAAGATTGCTTCTGTAACAGAGGCTACAATATGTTATAATACGACGCATCTTCATGATGCTATAACTCCTTCAGCATCTGGCAGTAGTACTCTTGATATTTGTCAATTTAAACAGCTGCCTACAATTGATGTTTCTTTAACTCGTGTCAATCGTTCCAATTATTCCATTAATCAATCAGTCACTGTTAAGAAACGGGACAAAATTATTGATTATGCTAGCAGTAGAGCAAAGTTAGGGGTAGGTTTTGGAAAATCACAGTTCCTGAATTATGCTGGGAGACTTGCCGCAAAACATAAATTCAACTTCAAGAAAGAACTTCCAAGCAACCATTGGTGGGCTAGGGTTAAACATCCAGGTCTTTATGGGGTTTTTACACTGAGTTCGCGCCTCCGGGAACAAATTGGAACTGGTCCAATAGTGGTTGGAATAAACAGGGTCAATCAAAACTATGGTTGACCAAGACATGTTTAGAAAATATTGGTCCACAACGTCCTCAGTTACTGATTTTGGATGGGCACGACTCTCATAACTTTATTGAGCTAAATGATAATGCTATCCAGAACGAGATACATTTAGTTAAAATGCTTTTAAACACATTAAGCTGGCTTCAACCATGCAACCGCACCTTATTTAAGCCACTGAAGGATTATTATCGATCTAGAGCACAAGATCTGATGAGTCAGTTTCCAGGAATTATCACTTGTCATTCAAATTTTGTAGGGATATTTGTTTCAGCTTAGGAAACAGCAATGACTTCTAGCAACATTACATCTGGGTTTAAGTCGTGTGGAATTTATCCATTTAATCCTCAGGCTATTCCTAGTGATGCATATTTACCAAAATATCTACACATAACTGAGGATATATCGGTTAATACAGCTGAAAACAATTGTTCTTTGGTAGGTATTGTACTATCGTGTTTTTGCTAATACTACTATACAATAAAAATTATTATTTAAACTTTAGCTAGCAACTGTAACTAATATTTTATGTACAAATTGATAAAATTTCTGAATAAAGTTTAAAGTTTACTAACTTGCATTTCAATTGTATTATTTATCATTTTCTTAGAAATTCCAACCATCAATTGTTCAAGAAATTAATTTTTTAGACGTTGATGCTTCTATAGATGCTGGAAATATTGCTAATTATCTAGAACAATTACAAAATGGCACTGAAGAAGATAACGCAACTCACAGTTCGTTACTAAACAAAACTTCTATTTTGGAAGCAGAGACTGTTGTTTGTAATAATCAGTTTGCATATTTAGTCAATCCAGTTAAAGAAAAAAATGTTGACTGCATTGTGAATAGTTTTACCAATCTTACTAAGCAAAAAAAAAAAAAAAAAAAGAAATCTTAGAACCATCAAACTTTAATTCAGATTTTCAAACAGTTTCAGATTTTCTGTTTGCAAACTCTTTCTACCCTGGTAAGTCAATCATTTTATAGTTTTTTTTTTTCATTTCATTTGATCCAGTGATTAATAGTTGCATAACAACAATCCAACTTTTAATAAATTTTTAGTTTTAAAGTAATACAAATTTTTTTTAATTATTTAAATAACTGTTATTTTATTGAATTTATATGTTTTTATCAATGCAGGTGATGGAGATGACAACAAGTGCCAACAAGTCTATAGCAACAACAAAAAAGAAGTTCATTATTATCTAAATTGCAACCATTGGTTGACCCGAGAACAATACTGACTAATATGTACTAAATATTCGACAATATTTTTTTTATATAACTAAAATGCATACAACTTTGTTTTATCTATATAAACTTTTTTATTATATTTATTTAAGAACACTATTATCACAAATAAGACCATTCGGTCTTATTTGTGATAAGACCTAATGGTCTTATCACTAAGCACCGCCGCAAGGGCTTAACCATTTAATGAGTTGGTTCCCCATTTCGAGCTTTACCGATAAAGTATAAGTGTTTTGAGCAGGATTCGAACTTGCAACCCTTAAACAATAAGTACCATGCTCTAATCACTTCGTCACGGCTGCTCAATATAAAAATTGATGTGTTGAAACTATACTTTATTTACTTATTTTACAATTACAATTGAGATTGATCCAGATTCAAGTTAGAATCTAGGAAGAAAGTTCGCATTCACAAAAAGCCCATGGTTTTATACTTTTCTAATTAAAATGGTGCAATTGAGCATAGATATTAACTAACGAGATTTAATCTCACTCACCAGTATATAACGTCGCCATACGCAAGTATAAGTTCTTTTTTAATTTACACAGTGGGCAACATTAAATCAACATGACGAGATTGAGTTCAAGTGAGCGAGAATCAGTGCTTTTGAAACACTGTACCATTTATAATGGTACCGCCAACTTCTCTCATAAAATCTAAATAATTTTACATAGTTTTTTAGCTGAAGGAATAAGCTATCTAATGATGTATAGTTCAGCTGTGCAAGTCTAATAATAGCCTGTCAACATCAATTTCAGTGCGGATGTGGGCGAGGTTCAATTAAGTTATCATTATTATATAATTATCATTATTTATATAATTTTAAAATTTGTTAGTTTTTGTTTTTTTATTGTCAATTTCAACCTTATTTAACAAAGTTGGAATTAACAATTAATTTCTAAACAAGCAATTTTAAAAATTATGAAATTAATAATGTAAGATTAATTATAAACATAAGTAACATAAAAAGCATATATTTTATCAATATAAACAAACAATTAAATAATTAAAAATCGAAAGTTAAATTCTTGCAACATTAAAAATGGAGATATCTTTAATCCTATTATTTTAACGTCACTTATCGTGACGTTAGAAAAATAGGGTTCCTTATTATTATTCTAACGTCACAATAAGTCAATTTCTCATAAAACAATTTTGACACAACTAATATTTTATGAAAATAAAGTCTGCGCTACCTATAAATTGTTAGAAAATATGCATAGTTTTATCATTAAGCTTATAAATAATAGATTAGGTTTTGATAGCTTAATGATAAAACTATGCATATTTTCTAAATTGTTAGAAAATATGCATAGTTTTATCATTAAGCTTATAAATAATAGATTAGGTTTTGCAATGATCTGTTTATTAGATATTTTTGAATGTCACCGAGTATTGAGTCCCATAAGTTTTGTTTACTCCGTTACAATCCAATCAATGTTTGTAAATTATTATTGTCTTTATAATAAATTCAAGTTTTGTGAAGTATTTTTCATTGCTATAATTACAGCCAACATGTTTATTATATAACACAAGTTTATTGACATGAAAAACTGAATTTTTATGACAATCTGCACTGTAAAAAAAATTATTACAAGCAAACTACTCCTTTATTGACGTTTTTAAATAGTTTAACAAGCAGTAGAAAATAGTCTAAGCTAAATTTCCGATTCAAAGGAAACCTTGATACACATAAAAAGTCTAATATTGTCTTTATAAAATAAGATTTTTTTAGTATTTAAAATGTGAAAATACTGTCCACTCTGTTTCAAAGAATACAAAGTATGCTTTATAAGTTATGAATTGCGCTTCGCACATGATATAATCATGTTAAAATAACTAGAAAACTCAAAAAATATTTAAAATAAAAAAATAATATTAAGGATGAAAGTTCTGGGATTCCGAAATTTTTCGATCTCGTACAAATGGCTGATCTCGAAATAGATTACAATTTATACTCTAAAAATAACGGTTGCTTCAGAGGCGGATCCAGACCATCTAGAAAGCGGGCAACTTTTAAATTATTTTGATTCGGTGCATCCAGACTATTTTGGAAAGAATGGAGGGAGTGAGGTGGTTGATTTGATCCAAACTATCTAATAAAGTAGGGGGAAGAATGACAATTTATAGGTTTTTTAGTAAACTTTTTTAGAATATTAGTCTTTCACTTTCTTAATGTAACTATGAAACTAAGTTTTTACGTAACTATGAAACTACGTTATATATCGATATATATATATATATATATATATATTTTAATGTGTTGTTTACATTTGACGTAATATATATAAATTACATATTTTTTAAATACAAACAAGGTTTTTAAAAGAAGATCACAATGATCTTATCGTCAGAAGCTTTTTACAAAAGAGAGTACGTAAAATATTATAAAAACGCCTTTTTACAATAAGAGTACGTATAAAATAACATAAAAACAATAAATTGCATTTAGATAAATGAAAATAAATTGTAAACGTATAAAACAAAACTTGAACATACATGGCAATAAAAATTATTATTATTATTATTTTTTTTATCACAAGATAAATTAAAAATATTCAAAGATATTTTCAATAGAGAGAATGAGGTCTTTTAATTTATTTTTAAAAACGGGATAAATTAGGAGTAAGTCAAAGTCAGACAAAATAATTTTGTTCCAGAGATGAGCTGCACGATATGCACGAGTGAAACAAAATTGATTAAATTTTGTACGATAGAATGGTTCATTTAAATAATTATTATTCCTCATGTTAAACTTGCTTAACGGTTTCAAAATAAAAAGATCTTTAAAAATATAAGGAAATAAATCATGATTCGACATATAAACAAAGGATAAATTTTTATATACGTTTAGTTTATATATATTGAGGATTTTCATTTGATTAAAAAATATTGAGGAATGTGCGAACCGCAGAATTAATTAAACAGATTGCATGTTTCTGACGGCGATAGAGACGTTGTAACTTGCTTTGATCAGTGCTACCCCAGGCAATAACTCCATAACTTATATAATTGTGTATAAAAGAGTAATAAAGTTTAGTTAAATTATTTTTATCTAAATGAGTACGCGTCTTATATAAAATTCCGATACTTTATGAAACTTTTGAGCAATCATAGTTAATATGATGTTTCCATCTGATGTTCTCGTCAATAAAAACCCCCAGGTATTTAGTTACAAAATCTCTTTTAATTTCAATGTGGTCAATAAGAATTTTTTGTAGATTTGGAGGTAGAAAACGTTTTTTGGAAAGCGGGTAGAAAAAAATCCATTTTGTTTTGGTTATATTTAATGTTAATTTGTTACTTTTAAACCATTTAGATATGCTTTGAAGTTCTTTGTTCATCATGGAGAAAAGTAGATAGATGTTATTTTTTGAGAGAAATAAGTTTGTGTCATCAGCAAACATAATACTTAGAAGATTTGATGCTTTATGCAAGTCGTTGATATATATTAAAAACAAAAGAGGGCCGAAGATGGAACCTTGCGGAACACCACAGGAAACATTTAAAAACTGTTTATGATTAAGTTTATTACAAGAAACAAATTGTTTTCTGTTTGATAAATAAATTTGAAACCATTTAATTACTCTTTCGTTTATTCCGTAATAACTAAGTTTAAAAAGCAAAATATCATGATCGACAGTATCAAGTACTTTTGAAAGATCGATAAAAATTCCTAATGAATTGAGATTTTTCAAAAAAATTGAAGATTTTACATTCCAACTGGATAATTGCATGCTCAGTTGAGTTATTCTTTTTAAGGCCAAACTGATTGTTGTATAATAAATTATTTAAACTAAAACAATTAAATACTCTATTGAACATGATTCTTTCTAGTATTTTTGAAAATATAGATAAGATAGAAATAGGCCGGTAATTACTTATATCAGATTTGTCACCTTTGGAAAGTGGAATGACTTTAGCAATTTTCAATTGATCAGGAAAGACTCCTTGTTCTATTGATGATTTAAAGACTTTAAAAATAATATATTTTATTTGTTCAAAGCAATCTAAAATTATGTTACCATCGATTTCATCCGGTCCAACTGCTTTATTTTTTTTAGTGTTTTGAAGGCTTTTTCGAACTCATCAAATAATAACTCATTAGATAACTTATCCGAGTGAATGCAATTATCCATTGGTACTAAGGGATCATCCATAAATTATGTCACGCTTTTTTTTTTGACAGTTTTTGACCTTCCCCCTCCCCTCGTCACAAAATTGTAAAACATAAGAAACAAGTTTTGTATGAGTTGTCACAAAACCACCAACCCCCCTCTGTGTTGCAGGGAACCTGAGCATGATTTTGACTTACCGGTAATTTATTATTCCAGAAGTGTTTACAATTTTTATTATTTCCCAGAAGTGTTTACAATTATTTTTTGCTTTATTGAGAACTTTAGAATAGTTATGCTTTTTTAAGTTTTTTCGAAATTTTCAAAAAGATTTTTGTAATCTTTGTATATTTTCTCATTGGCGACTGATTTATTTTTTAGATATTTTATGTATAATTTCTGCTTAACTTTTGATGATTTTTTTAAATTTTGGTAACCCACGGAGAATTAATATTTTTCTGATTTATTGTTTTTTCATATAAAGGAAAATTAGCATCATAAACAGAGTAAAATGTATTAATGAAATTATCGTAAATGTTGATTGCATTATCACTACAGTCGATGTTCTTCCAATGGAGCAATGTTAGTTGTGTTTTAAATTGCTCAACGTTTTTTTGGATATAGTTACGTAATTTAACTTTTATTTTTGTTTTAGTCATTATTTTAGAGTTGAAGTTTATGGTAAAAAATATAGGGAAATGGTCAGATATGTCTGTTTTTAAGATACCTTTATTTAAGTCACTGTTAAAAATATTATTTTTTAGAATGTTTTTAATTAGCTGATTTTGGAGTTACTCTGGTTAGGCGATTTATCAAAGGATTGGCTCCCATTTCAAAAATAGAATCATAAAATTTTTTAGCTTTAATGTCCATAGAGTAGTGGAAGCAATTCATATTAAAATCTCGTACAATAAAATTCTTTTTTTTTTCAAGAATGCCTTTTTTGAAAAGGTTTTCCTCAAAATACATGTTTATGTTCTCAGTCACACCGTTCGGAGGTCTATAGCATCAGCTCAGTAAAATGTTTTTAGATTGATTGTTAAGAATTCCAATAGTTTAAATTTCTTTGTCGCCGTCAGAAACACTTAAATCATTTCTAACATAATGTGCAATACTTTTATTTACATAAATAAGAACTCCTCCACCACGTTTATTGACAAGTCTCTATTGTGAAATTAATTTAAAGTAAAGAAGATTAAAATTTCAAGTAGTATTTAAATCATTTTCAGTTATCCAGCTTTCAGTTAAACAAATTATATTTAAAAAATTGATGGTTTCTTGTAACAAATTGAGAAGGTTTTTGAAATTGCGGTTTAGGCTTCTGATATTTATATGAAGAATTCTTAGTTGATCAAAATTATTGTTTTCTGTATTTTTATAAGAAAACCCTTCTAATTTGTTAGGATAATAATATAAACAATCCGTAATAATGTCATTGAAATAATTAATATCTGGATCTAAATTTTCATAAGATGAGAAGTGTCTGATTTCTGAAAAATTAAAAGTAAATGAATTAAAATTGTTTGTTTCAGACGTTATGATTAAGTTATAAATTAGAGGAACTTTCTTAACCACTATATGTTTTAAAAAAATAAATTATCTTTTATGATCTACTGATCGGGGTGACTGAATAAGCTAATTTCATAGGTGCAAGTGCATAAGTGTGAAGCATCTGCTCGAAAGCTTGAGTTTAAAAAAAAAAAAAATTTATATATATATATATATATATATATATATATATATATATATATATATATATATATATATATATATATATATATATATATATATATATATATATATATATATATATATATATATATATATATATATATATATATATATATATATATATATATATATATATATATATATATTCCATCAGTCCAATTTTTTTTTGCACAACGTGCAAAAAAAAATTGGACTGATCGCCCTCATCATCCACCCCCCTTCCTATGGATCCGCCCTTGGGTTGTTTTGAGGGGGTGACTGAATAAGCTAATTTCATAGGTGCAAGTGCATAAGTGTGAAGCGTAGGTGCGAACTCGAATTGGAACTAGCATAAGTGCGAAGCATTTGGGGCTGCCTATTAATTACGTCAACAAATTTTTTGAAATTTTTACCTCCCCCCTCCCCCTTGTCAACAATTTGTCAAATTTCCAGAGACCCTCCCTATAAAATTACGTCAATTTTTGATTCCCCCCCCTATACAAAGAAGATACGCTGCAAATTTTCCGTTATTTAAGCAATAACCCCCTCCCCCACTATTTTGTTGACGTAATTAATGGACAACCTTTACAAAATCTTTCGGTTTCAAAATATGCCGGCCGCAATCTCTGGGTTTCAAATTATGCCGGCCGGACTCGGTGCTGTCAAGTCCAATAATTTGTAGGCCAGTTGAAAGTCGCGGTTTTGTTTTTGTTTCTACTAAAATGGCTTCTCCAAGCGTTTGTGAGTTATCTGCAGATCTTAAAGCAGCTCTAAAAAAGTTCCGCTTCCGTAAAGGAGAAACATTTGCTGCATTGGTAATGAAAATTGATCCTGAAAAGTTGTTAGTTGTTGAAGATGAAATATATGAGGATATATCATTTGAAGATTTCGTTTCAGAACTTCCAGATCATTCACCACGTTATGTAGTAATTAGTTTTCGTAAAGCTCATCAAAATGGTAGAGTTTCATATCCGTTATGCTTTATTTTTGTAAGTCCTCAAGGAGCAAAGACTGAACTCCAAATAATGTATGCTGGATCAAAAACTGGCGTTGTAAATGAGCTAGGTTTAACTAAAGTTTTTGAGGTAAGAGATGTTGAAGAACTAACTGAAGAATGGATAAATTCGAAGCTTGATCTTATATCAAACCACTAATTATCTGTTTATTTATGCGAGAATGTGTGTGTGTGTGTGTGTGTGTGTGTGTGTGTGTGTGTGTGTGTGTGTGTGTGTGTGTGTGTGTGTGTGTGTGTGTGTGTGTGTGTGTGTATTTATTACTTATAGAAATAAAAATAGTTATAAAATTAAAAATGCATATACTAACTGTTGTTAATAAATTCTTTTTACTAAGTTTTATGTATTGTCTGTTAAGACATTGTTTTTATTAATACAATGTAACTTTGTTCATACACAAGTATTGTAACTACAATGTAACTATGTTCATACATAAGTATTGTAACTACAATGTAACTATGTTCATACATAAGTATTGTAACTACAATGTAACTATGTTCATATATAAGTATTGTAACTACAATGTAACTATGTTCATACATAAGTATTGTAACTACAATGTGACTATGTTCATACATAAGTATTGCGTTTCATGAGTAAAATTCTACTAATCTGTATTTTTTGTAAATTTTTTGAAAAACTTAATTGATAAAAATTTAATTTAAATGTTTTTATGCAATGTTTTACTAAAGAAGTTTTAATACACCAAGCAATAATGAAATATTTTAACAAACTGTTTAATAATCAATCAGTTATTATTTTTATAGTTTTTAGAATTATGATTATAATTTATATCAAAAGAATATAATAAACATGTAAGAATAATTTTTTTAAATATAAGCTTATAAATAATAAATGTATAAAATATTAAAATAGCTATGCTACTTTTTGATTTATTTTTCTTTAATTGTTTATATCAGAGATAAAAATAGAATGTGGAGGCTAAAGTTTGTAAAAAGCATTACTTTTTGTGTTGCATAGTCTTATTTAAAATTTTTTCTTAATGTATGTAAGTTGCATCAAAATATTTGCATTATTCATATTTATAAAACTAGTCACTTGGCCTCTAGTAATTTCTGTAATTAAAACATATAGGTGGTTAAACGTATCGGGGCTAAATATCAAAAGTAGAATACCTTACTAGCACTAGAGGTTTTCAAATTTGGGTTGTGCAACAACTTTTATTAGAGGTCCACTTAATGAGTTATGTACCATGTCATAATCATGAAATTTTTATAAGTAATGACTTGGGAGTCATTTCTTAAAAAAATTTAAAGTTTCAATATTTGTCTTATTTTTCTAAGGTTTTACAATCCCTGTGAACTATCATTTCCTACCATCAGCATAGCATAAGGTTGTTTGTCTTCATAAATGTAAATTAAGTTTTAAAATGAACCTAACTTGGAAATACATTTTTTAAACATTTAAAAATATTTTTAAGTTATGTAAATTTAATAGAATACATGTGATGAGTTTCTGTCATTGCTGTTCAATGGTTTGTTTTATGGATTTTGAGATAAGTTAACTTAGTTGACTAACTTTATTGTGTGAACTAGTAGCTTCTATGGGTTATGCTGAAAAACCCTAACTTGAAGTTTTAAAAGCCTCAAATAAGTGTAAATAAATTTTGCATTATTTTTTGTACTATGTTAAATCAAAGTTCATGGAGAGGTTTTAAATTTAATTAAAAATACTTAAGTTGTTATTATGTATTGTTTAGATACAATCCTTTCTTTGTTCCATAATTTGCGATAGTAAAACATTTTCATGGAAAGGTTATCCAGCTTTTCTGCCATACCTCGCAGTGGTTTATTTTGCACTTTATGAGTACATGTAGGAACACTCTCTTTATGTTTTATGGGAAAATAATACTAAAAAATACTACTGAGAACATACCATAGTTCTAGGACTCTAAAATACACACACTAAAAATAACAGTAATATTAATTTCTCAGATTATTTTAATTATCTGAGAGAATTATATTTAAACTATACATGGTCACAATTCATATTTTTAGCTTGATATTTATTTTCACAAGTAAAAAATTAGAATTATTTAAGTTATTCATGGTTACTAAACATTCTTTGCTTAATATTTCAAGCTTTATTTACTAAAAATACCCCTAAAATCATAACACTATGACACCTAAAAAAGCATTATAAAGGATGCAGCCTGAGGCGATTTTAGGAAGTAGGGGGAGCACCCCCTCCCCCCCCTCCCCCCCCCCCCCCCCCCTTCCCCCAAAAAAAAAAAAAAAAATTTTTTTTTGATTTTTTGGTAAGTATAGTATTTGGCACAATTCAGTCAGATAAATTTAAGTTTTGGAGACCTAGTTTTTTTAAGTAACCAGTCGTTAAAGTATTTTAGATTTATTTTATACACAGGGGCGCTTCAGGATTATACTATATACTTCTAGGATATACTTCAGGATTTTTTGGTGTTTCAAATATGAAAAATCCTCGCGTTTGAGCAGAGGGGCGGCAAATGCTTTTGGGCTTTATTGTTCCAGTAATAAAGTATATACAGTAATAAAGTATATAAAATAATAATATACAGTAATAAAGTATATACATTAATAATATACAATAATAAAACAGAATATACAGTAATAAAATAAAACAATTGGAGCAGATCAAATTAATGGTAACGTGGTTATAGATTGCTTTGAACAACTTAAAGTTGTTCTTTTTAAAATCTTTAGGACTTCTATCCATCTCGGAGTATTCCCAGAACAATTAAAAATTGCAAAAATTTTTCCTATTTGTAAAGAAGGGAACAAATCTGAAATCAGTAATTATCGCCCTACTTCTGTTCTCTCCACATTTTCGAAAACTCTAGAAAAAATTATGTTCAACAGAATATACAAATATTTTCATGATAATAATCTACTTTACATCAATCAATTAGGTTTCAAGAAAAATAACTCAACTAAACATGCAATTATCCAATTTGTACGTGAAATCTCAAAATCATTCGAAAAATCACAATATACATAAGGAATTTTCATTGACCTATCAAAAGCTTTTGATACGGTCAATCACCATATTTTGATTTATAAACTCAAATACTACGGAGTAAAAAATTAAATTTTAAAATGGTTTAAAAGTTGTCTATCTAACCAAAAATAATTTGTACCATTTAACAATGATTATCAACCCACTTTTCTATATATAAACTGTGGACTCCTACAAGGTTCAATTCTTAGAATTCTCTCCTTTTTTTTATTTATTTAAATGACTTAAATAAAGCTTCAAAACTAACAAGCATTATGTATGCAGATGGTACAAACTTATTCCTTTCTAGCTATGATATTCCTGAATTTTTTAAAACAGTGAACAAAGAACTCAGGCATATATCTAATTGGTTCAAGTGTAGTAAGTTAACCTTGAATACTAGTAAAAAAAAATGGGTTTTATTTCATTCGATTACAAAAAAGCGATTTCTCCCATCAAAATTACCTCAAATCTTTATCGATCAAAAGGAAATAAAAAGAGATTTTTTTCACAAAATTTTTAGGTGTTTATCTTGATGAAAACGTTACTTGGAATCACCATATTGATTACATAAGTACAAAAGTTTCTAAAAAAATGGGCAGCCTATATAAATCACGAATCTATCTGAATAAGAAAGTCTTAATACAACTTTATTATTCATTTATACATAGTTATTTAAATTATGCCAATATAGCTTGGGGAAGTACTGAAAAAAGTAAGTAGGAACGTTTTTACCTCCATCAGAAACGCGCAATCCGTATAATCAATTTTGAAAATTGTTTCTCTCATTCGAAGCATCATTTTATTGAAATAAGAATTCTGAATATATACGAGTTAAATGTATTTAATATTTTATGTTTTGTAAATATGTGGATAAATAACTTATCCCTAACTGTCTTCAAAGATCTTTTCTCTTTTAAACCAATCAGTAAATATATTTTGAGAAATAATAACTTTATAAATGAACCTTTTTGTCAAACAAACTTTAATTAATATTGTATTACCTATCGAGCGCCACACCTTTGGAATGAGATTGTTTTGGCGAATTTTAATTTTGAAGTACCTATTACTTTTTGCATTTTTAAAAAAAAAACTGAAAAACTTCATTTTTTCATTAGATAATATATTGACTTATAATTAGTAGTAAAAGTTAAAAATATATTTTGGTCTACTTTATTATTGTTTATACGATGTCTACGTTTATAGAAGTTTATGCCTACTCATTTTATTTATTGTTCTTATACTTTTTACTTTTTAATTTATATGTTGGTTTACACTTGTATAAAATTCTGATAAGAGGATCTACTTGATTATTTTTCAGACACAGATTATTAACATTGCAATTTTGTAAAAGTTTTTTTTTTTTTTTTTTATCTTATCTTTGTTAAATGCTTATTTAAGGTTTTGACGACAAAATCCTTGCAACATTCTTTGAGATACTTTGTTAATATTTGTTATATTTTCTATCATTGTAAGCTTATATTATTATTTTTATTATAGGTTATTTAAAGCTGTACAACAATTAACAAATGTAAACCAAAAAAAAAAAAAAGGTTCCTTCTATCTTTTCTTTTTTTCTTAGTTGATCAATGTCATCCTTTCTTTTCCTTCGCTGCACGAAGAAAAAAGAAGGACATCATTGCTTCTTTTTAATCATAGGACATTTTCATTATCAAAAGATAAAGTTTTCATTTCTGAAAGAAGTAAAAACTTTATCTTTTATTTAGTCTGTAACATTCTGTTTCTTCAAAAAAATGAAATATAGTTGATAAAGATTTTCAAGGTCTTCAAAATACAGATTTTAACTTTATTATAAACTTTTGATATAGTCTGTGAAAAAGTGCAATATTGCTACTAAAATGCCGAAATTTGTGTGAAGATAATGTATATTAAATGTGGTTCCTCAAAAAAGTATGGTTTATATATCGGATTTAAAATATGTTGTAACAGTTGCATTTGGAAAAGTTTAGTTTAACTTTTTGTGCAATTAAAAACGTTTCGTTGAACAACTAAACTTATGTTTGGCATAGACAATTGTAGTAAACAAAAACTTTTTGACATCAACACATATGTCATTGTGGCTTTTATTAAATGGGTAAATAGTTGGATGGGTTATAGTTGTTAGACAAGCTTTGTGGAATAATACATATGGAACCACCTATGAACAAAAAAAGCTAAAAGTTCCCTTAAACAAAAAAAACACCTATAAACAAAAAAAAACTACTCTATATATCTTTCGATGTTTCATCTTTACATCAAGAGATATTATAAGTACCTTTGATGGCTCATAGCAAAAATTGATTTCACTTTGAATAACAGAGTTGTTTTTTACGAATTTAATGTTATACAATTCAACTTATTTTTTACTTTACTTTTTCTGATGTTAAATTTAAAAACATCTATTAGAATTAAGTTCCCAGTTAATTGCATTCTACTTTTACAAGTGGTTTTGTGTGGTCAAATAACACCAAAACTTTTAAAAATGACTAAAATGCATAATTTTTAACTTTTTTTTGGCCAAAATCCAAAACTTTTAGCGTATGTTAGAAATGCACAAATAAAGGAATACACTCTAAGAAAAAATCCGTTATATACAACGAATTGTATCTGTCGCTATTGCACTAACGGGAAATCCGTTAAGTTAACGAATTAAAATTTTAACGAATTGAAGTCCGTTAGGATTAGTCCGTTGATTTTACGGATTTATTTCGTTAATGCAACGAATAATCCGTTAAAATTGAGGAATTATTACACTAGGCAGCAAATTTTTCGCGGTTGTTATTCCTATCAAATAAATGTTTTAATAAGTTATTTTAGTGATTATTTTGTTAAAATCACTAAATCTAAAATTAGAGAGGCCAGAATTGTGACTTCATAACCAAATAATCCTTATATTTGTTAATGTTTGCAATTTTATTTAATAGCATCATTTTATTTCGATATTCTACATTAAAGCGTTTTAACCAAAAATTGAAAACTCATCAAATATTTATAATATTTAATCCAATATACTTTAAATTACAATAAAAATAGTTAAAAAGATATTTTTAATACACTATACTCAAGCTAGTACATTTATATAAAACACACACACATATATAATAAATGTTTAAAATAAACCAATGCCAAGATATTAGTTTTTGGTTGCTAGTTTTGGTTTGGTTGGTTTAAATAGGTTTTGGTTTTGAATAAGGTTGTTACTCGTACACAGGTTCGTACTTTAAATCAGACACCATGCTGTCAACTCCTTAAAGATTAATATAAAATAAAATAAGGAAAATATGGAAACTTAATAACATACCTAGTATAAAATCAAAATAAAATGTTACTGATAACACTATAGAAAATGTTTTTGGTAATTCATATATAAATTTCTATTCTAAATTTTGTTATTTTAATTATCTCTGATATCGTTTTTTAAAGATAAAGTTAAATGGAACAAGTAAATTATATCTTTATTAAAATGTGAATTAAAAAAAAAGTATAAGATTACCTGGACATTACCTGATAACTGAAAGACTCTATACATTTCACATACATCAATACCTATCAGGAGCAAAAAATAAGGTCTCTAACCTTTTAAAAACTATGATAAATCAAAACAAGATTAAATATGCAGACCAAAAAAAACACAAGTAACTATATAAAAAAATTAATTTCACAACTTATTTAAACTTACAGTGTCATACCACTTGTCACATGTTTAAAATAGCTAATTCTAAAATAATAGCGAATATAGAATATAGTAGAATAATAGTTAAAAAAGTGTGATATAAACTTAGTCTTAACTAAACTAAATAAATATGCATGCCAAAAGAAATGCAAGTTAAAATACAATTTTTTTAAATTTACTTATTCAAACTTACAGTGGGATATTACAAACCACGTGTCTAAAACAGCAAATTCTAAAATAATATAAATACGCCAGACATAAACTTATTATTATTATTATTAATAGTTGAAACGCCAGACATAAACTTATTATTATTATTATTAATAGTTGAAACTCAACTAAATAAATATGCGCGCCAATAGAAATGCAAGTTACAATATAAATTTTACAACCAATTTAAACTTACAGTATGACAGCTTATACCAAGTGTCTAAAATAGCAAATTCTAAAATAATATAAACAAGTCATACACAAACTTAGTTGTAATCCAATTATATAAACATGAACGTCAAAAGAAATGCAAGTTTAAAAATATATTTTTTTTAATTTACAAATTCAAATACAGTGGAATACCACATGCCACGTGTCTAAAACAGTAAATTCTAAAATAATACAAACACATCAGATATAAACTTAGAGTAAAATCAACTAAATAAATATGCAAGTTACAATATAAATTCTACAACCAATTTAAACCTACAATGTGACACTAAATGCCATGCCTCTAAAGCAGCAAATTCTAAGATAGTATAAATAACTCATATATAACCTAAGTTGTAATTCAATTAATTAAACATGAATGTTAAAAGAAATAGAAGTTCCAATATAAATTTTTTAATTTTACAACTAGATTTAACTTACAGTGGGATAACAAATGCCATGTGTCAATAACAAAAAATTCTAAAATAATATAAACACACCAGTATAAACTTAGTTTATGATATTGGATGCCACATGTTTAATTTGGAAATTAACAAAAATTGCAATTTATAAAAGCATATTAACTAGCCATGTAAACTTAGCTGCAACTAACCTAAATAAATATGCCTATCAAAGATGTTAACATTTTTAATTTTACAACTGATTTAAACTAATATGGTATGTTACTACATGTCATATGTCTAAACTATAGAGTTAAACAAGACTATAAATAATCCATTTAGCCTATATTATAGAAATAATTGTTAATAAAGTATAAAAATAAAAAAAAATAATAAATAAAACTAATAAAGGATTATTTCTATAGTATTGACTATATGGATTGCATATATTCTTGCATAATTTTCTAGACTTAGACATGTAGTAACTTACCATATATAATATGTATTAACTTACCATATATGTTATTATATATTATTTAGTAATACTAATGACTTTTAATTTAAAATAAAATAATAACCTTATTGTTAAATTTTCTATATAAAGCTTTATATAGAAAATTTAAAATAAGTTAAATAACCTTAGAAATTACAAATAACAGAGCGTAATTTAAATTATATTTATCCATTTGCTTTGTCTACTAAATGTAAAGCTTTTTAAAAAATGGCATATTTCACTTACTGCAACCAACTTTTATCTACGATGTAAATGTAAATGCATTCAAAACTTTATCATTTTCAAAATAAATAGCTATAATATACTGAAAATTTTTTTTTGACCGATTAAAATATTTAATCCGTTGAATTAACGAAATTTCAAAGAATCCGTAAATAGTAAATTTTACTCCGTTAATTTTCTGGTTTTAGGTAACGAATTAATCCATTAATTTAACGAAAAAGCGCAATCCGTTACTTTTTTTTTTAGAGTGTACTAGCCAAATCTTCAGTTCAAAATTTATTTACGGTTGCTGAAAAAAGTCTGTGGCCAATTTTGGGTTTTTGTCTATCAATAGCGGTGGTGGCTGGATAGCTCAGTTGGTTAGAGCGTCAAACGAAAGTTTAAAACCAGAGCTGTTGCACGGTACGATTTCAAATCCTATCACCGCTGTACTTCGGTAATTTTTTTAAATTTTTACTTTTGTTTTAATTATGTAATACATGTACTATGCACCATTAAAAACTGAAAATTTTTTTAACGGTATACTTCCACTTTAAGATTCTAAACTATAAAAATATTACATTGTGGGAGCAGTAATATTCAAACTCTGAGTTTACTCAAACGCCATTCGTGATTCAAAAGAGGGAAAAAGTCAAATACAAATATCTAGTCTCTTTCTTTATTTAGCAATGCAAATAAATTATGATGGAAAATGAATAGTATGAAAACCATTTAAAAGTAAACATTGTGGCTCATAGTTAAAACAAAAAGGCTTTAAGGTCTTAGAGGTGCATATTGTAATTTATGTGATTTTTGAAAAAATGTAACCAAATACAAACAGTTTAAGATGATTTTAATCATAAACGGTATTAAGTCTTGCATTAAATATATATTGGCTTAGTTAAAGAGAATGGGACCATTTTGAAGAAACCTAAGGATCACAACATTTAACACCGTCAAACCGCAGCTCTAATTGCATGCTCAAATCTTTGGTCTATTTAAGTTTTATATGATTTGCTCTGAGGCTTTGATCATTTTATGAAGGTTATCCACATGGCTGGATGTGTCTTAACTTGTACATAATCTAAAACAGCTAGAGACACAACATTGAAAAAAAGGCAAAATTATGAGAAAATATCAAAGTAAAAATAGGAACAAAAAGGACTTTTGCAGAATCTGCTGGACAAGGAAGAAGTAGAACAACTGGAAAAGTTTTTAAAAAGTTTCTACATGAAAATGTAAACCAAAAGTAATCACAGATCACATATTAAATTAAAAAGACTGCAAGTTAGTAATGTTGAAGTTAGTAATGTTGAAGTTAGTAATGTTGAAGTTAGTAATGTTGAAGTTAGTAATGTTGAAGTTAGTAATGTTGAAGTTAGTAATGTTGAAGTTAGTAATGTTGAAGTTAGTAATGTTGAAGTTTTCCAAGTTAGAGATCAATAATCTTTTTTTACTCAAAACTTTTTTTATGAGAATAGTATTGGGATTTAAGGTTATTTTTTTTTCTTTCAAATTGTTCAAATTTGGATTGCGGTAACCTTTTAAAAAGATAAGAATTTTCAATTTAGGTTTTTAGTAATCTGTATGTCATTTTAGTTTAAGAAAATCAAATTTTAATTTGAAAACATTTAATATTTTTACTAATTTCCACTATTTAACCCATTGTCTATCTATCATGTATGGGTATAATTTGTCTCTTTTTTGAAAAAAATGTACTGCTCTTTACTGTCTTTTTTAAAAATAATTCGTTTCAGTACTAATACAACAGCTAAACCTACGTGGCCTTGAAACATTTCAGCATCTATTATTTATTCGTATTAATAAAAAAATTTTAATTTATCGGGTGGACACGGAAAAATCCGATCAACTTTAAGTTGAGATTTCTCTAAAACCACAAATGCTTTTTATTATTATTATTTTTTCAATTAAACGTTACTTCCTTATCTTTAATCGTGTTGATAAACTTTTTTTTACAAATTTACAATTAGTTATTTGAAAAATGTTTCGGAAACAAATAGAGGTACATAAAAAAGTTGTGAATTTTTTGTTGCAAAAGTCCATCGACTTCATATCGCTTGATTGCTAAACGTACAAATGTCCCAAAATCTACAGTCATAGATATAAATAAGTTTAAAGCTTTGAAAGAAAACTTGGAAGTGAAAGAATTAAAACTTTCCATACATCCAAAAAGGTAAAGTCTATTTTACGTTCAAAAGCAAGAAATCCAACCAAGTCACAGCGAGATCTAGCAAGAAAATTTAAGACTCGTTCTTATATCAAAAAAGTACTTAAAAATGTTGGAACTAAAGCATTTCATAAGAAAAAAACACCAAAGAGAAGCTTAAATGATGAAATTAAAGGAATTTGATGCGCAAAGAAGTTGGTTAAAATAATGGTAGATAAAAGTATGTGCGTAATTGAAGACGATGAAACATATTGCAAAGCGGATTTTTTACAACTTCCTGGTCAACAATTTTACTACGAGAACAAAGATAAACATCTCGATGATCAATTTAAATATATTTAATGAGAAAAACTTGCATCCAAGTTCCTTGTGTGGCAAACAATTTGTAACTATGGTTTGCAGTCCTCTTGTTTTGTTACTAAGAAGACCTTGACTGCCAATCTTTACGTCAAAAAATGCCATTTATGAAAAAACACAAATACCGATATCTCTTTTGGCCAGATCTTGCTGCCTCTCACTATTCTAAAAAAAATCTACAGTGGTGCACAGATAATAATGTGAAAATTGTTCCTAAAGATGCGAATCCTCCAAATCGTCCTGAAGAGCGCAAGATTGAAAATTTTTAGGCAATAGTTAAAGGAGTTTTTTGTAAGACAGGTGGAGTGACAAATGATAAAAAGGACTTCCAAAAAAAGTGAACTAATGCCACCAATAAGGTGAAAAAAGAGAAAATCTGCGAAATGATGGCATCAACCCGCTATAAAATTCGAACTTTTGCAAAACAGCTCAAGTTTTTAAGTTGAAACTCTAGTTTGTGCAAACACATTTAAGAATTAAAAAAATAAAATAAAAAGCATTTATGGTTTTAGAAAAATATCAATTTAAAGTTGACCGGATTTTTCCGTATCCACCCGATAGTTATAATTAAAAATTTAATTAATAATTATAATGAATTTAATTTATAATTATAAATATTTAGTTTATAATTAAAAATGAAAAAACGCATAACCTGATTTGCTCAGAAAAAGAATGTAGACATATTTGGATTTTTATTATTTTTATTTTATGTGCCCCAAGAAGTTCCTACGGTCTTATCACAGAGCACCGCAGAAGAGCATTTGATAGGAAGTTCACGCCTCCTTCATTACCGGTGTTATAAAACTTACTTAGAAATAGCGTTGAACCACGGATCTCTAGTTTCTGAAGCAAGTGCGCTAACCACTGCGCTACAGCTGCTCAAGCCACTCCCCCATCATCTTAAGTTTTCAATTCTTCCATTTTTTTCACAACTAGTATGATGGTTGGTGTTTAAAAGAGCTTTTATTTTTAATTTGGATTTGCATTTAGTTGATTATAAAAACGTCATTGTATGTCATTTTCAAATAGAAGGCATGTAAAAATCTGCTATGTATAGTATACCAAAAAGAAAAGTTGGAAGTGTTCACAATACAAAAAAAATGTCTAAAAATCATATAGCATTCTAAAAAACGGATTGATCAAAAGGATAGTATTCCATAGCGTGGTCTTGAAAAACGATTTAATGTATCGCAACCGCACATATGCAAAGTAATCAATAAGAAAACTAGTATTCGTTATCATAACAAAATTAAATATCTTAAACAAGCGAAAAATAACAAGATGCTCTAGATGCCTTAGATTGGTTTCTATTTTTTAGAAAAAAAAATAGTTGTTACTTACGATGAACTTAAGTTGTTACTTACGATGAACTTCTATTTGATCAACATCAATACTTCTGGAAAATGATAGTTTCGTATTCTTTTGTAGATTTAGATTAAAAAAGATGTGAGTACACTAGCCAAAATTGAGAAATTTGATTGGAACAGATCTAAGACATTTGTGTTGATTGTACGTCAGTTAGCAGTTGTTAATGACAGGGTTGAAAAACACATCAAATTGGTGCAGCATTTCATCGTAAGGTTACATTCCGAAGACAGGCTCCAAGACGTGGCCATAAGTGGATTTTTTTTAATACGCTATTCTCATTAATTTTTTTTAAACTTATAAGAAAACATATCAAATGATAAAAAACATTTTTTTTTCGGTTCTCTCATGTCTAGTATCCGTCAGAGAAGCATTTTTTCTACCGGGTAGAAAGTAAAAAAAGTTAGCTAAAATTTGTAAACTTTTCATGCTTTTTAATTTTGCATTTTTTTTACTCATTTAGATGATTTTTTTTTTTATCATAAAGCATTTTTTTTATCGTTAGGCATTCTTTTATCTGTTTCAAAAGTAAAAAACTTAAAATGTTGAATATAGTTTTTGTCAAATGAGTAATTAAAATATTAGATAAAATTGAAAATTTACAGATAAATCTTGTTTTTGAAAATATCATATCTCAAAAGTTCTGCAGAGCTCCACCCTGAAATAACTATTTTTATCCTGGGGGATGTTGTCATGGATAACTAAAAAAAAAAAAAACAACTGTCCCAAATTGCACCAAATGGATTTATGGGCATAAGTATAAAAAATGTAAACCTGTGTAAAATATTTTTCCCCCCAAAATGAGGGAGTTGTAAATTTTACGTGGTCATTACTTCCGAACATTAAAAATTTTTTTTATGAAATTTGAATTTTATTGATAATTCTATTGATAAAGAACATTTTTTTAGGTTTTGAAAATAATTATGTTTAAAATACTGTCCCCTTCTCAAAGGGTAGAGGGGTGGGAAGCCGTTATTTGGGTTCTTCATGTTCCCAAACTCCATTAACCGTAATATTTTGTAACAAATCCTCATTTGATAATGTTAAAATTTGATAATAGTAAACAAATCCTCATTTGATAATACAGTTATTGTGAAATTTTATGTTTATGTGAGTTTTAATAGCAATTTTTTAAGGTATGTGATTTAATATAAATTATGATTATAATTTGTAAGAAACAAGTTTTCGTCAAGTTAAAAAAAGAAAATTTTAATCT